TCTTTCCCACAAATTTACAGAGAACAGTAAGTTTAGTGTTGGTATGATAATGGAGTGGCAGGCAACGTGGGGTACCTGTCTGAAAGGCTTTTTTTTGTGGGAGATATTAGGACTAGTTAACTTTCTGTCTTGTCACAGGAGAAAAGCAAGAGGAAGCACAGCTCTCTTAGGAGAAATACCTTTGCCTACAAAGCTGCAGGAATTCACAAAGACTGTTTTTTAAAGACTAACTTGAAAATCAGTATTCGCTGACAAGTGTATGACATGATCTCAAAAGTACATGATCATACATCTGCTAAAGAAGGAAAGGACCAAGACAAACTAATGAAATAGCTGAATGGCAATTTGGCCCACTAAGCTGCAGCTACAGTGGTCCCAAAAAAACCCAACCAACCAACCCACCCTCTGTCCCCATGCCACAAAAACCCAAAACAGGAAAAAAAATAAATGGGCTACTGTATGAGATCCGTCAGCTACTCCAAATAGCCAAGATAATCTGCTTTGCTTGTACTGCCTGCAATTATTGTGGGGAGAGAGTAAAGTGTCTCAATGAGTTCCAACTTACAAGGACCATTAATGACTACTGACAGGACTAGGATGCCAAGATAACTAACCTGCCTGTTCATTATCATCCCTTTATTTAGAGACTTCATAAGCCCATATATAGAAAAAAAATGGGCAAACCGACAACGCAGAGACAACCTTTATCTTGGTGTATCCTGGCTCTTAAGCGCTTTATTTCATAATCTTTAAATGTCACTTCTGTGTGTAGACTTTTTATATGCCAGTAACAAAATAACAGAGAACAGACATATGAAGAAAAGAAAGGCCCAGGCTTCAGTCACATCTTCAGAATATGACATCTTTGCAACCTTTGCAACAAATGTGGCTCCAATGTACAGGAAAGATTCCCAAAAGCTGCTTATCATCCAGGCAGCCAAGAATAATAACTCAGTGAACAGCAATAGAGCTCTGCACTAGTTCCTTAGTTATGATGGGAGTCAGTTTTGGGTATAAGAAACATATAATCGCTCTCCATAATTGCCTCAGGATTCCATTAAAAGGCAACCTAACCACTTTCCCAGCCTCTGCTTTGTACTACTCTGCCAGTACAGATTTGGGGAAGAATAAAGACTGTAAAGAACCTGTCCTAAAGTTCACGGCTAGAGGAATTCATAAGTCTTACAAGAAGAATAAGAGCACAAGCCGCTGCACCCATGGCCAACAAGTGCATGTGTGGAGGCAGCACACTGATGAAAGCATGTTAGCAGGTCTTTGTTGTAAGCAAGACTCCCACTGTTAGACTTGGAACCCAGAAAGTAAGTGAATAGGACTGACAAGGATTTGAAATCAGTGCCTAGGTGTTTCTAACAGTTAAAACATTAAAAATAACTTGGTTGCTATAAAGTCAAGTTGTAGTTGAAAGAAAGTTTTGAACACAGGGCTCACACATTGTCTGTCCCAACAGAAATAGCTCATGTATATCCACCAGAAAGCCCACACATTATGTCTTACATTCCTATTAAAAGCTAAGATGTTCCTGTAACATACAAAAAAACATAGCTAATCCTTGCATCCTAAAATATATATGTATAAAATAAACAAGAGGTTACTCTCCAAACTTTCCAAAAGCAAAGCTGCAGAAAGATATGACTAAATATAACCACTGCAAGAACAGTCCAAAGACTGGCCCTGTCCACAGACTGGATCCTCCTATCTGTTATTGCAGCAACAGGAACAAAACAAGATTGTGTAGTTATAAATAAGTAACAAGGCTCTACCTGTCTTTTACATGTGAATAATAATAGTTATATGACACCAATTGCATTGGTGCCATTTTGTCCTGTAATTAATGTTGCGCAAACAGCAAAGATGTATTTATTTTAGTATTCTGCATATATTCCTCAGTTAGGTAACATCTCCTGATCATCCTGTAGAATAATTGGTATTTTTTCTAGCAAAAAGATAACGGATATGGATTCACTGAGAGGAAGATATTGCACCTGGATGATGGCCCCTTTTCCTACTGTTCATGCAATATATATACCATCTGTATTTTGGGAAGCTCAGAAATGGGAGGGAGAAGATACTGTATCTGACAAGTTCCAACAGATTTCCTCCTAAATTAAAATTAAATATTAATTTGTTAAGTATCCACACCCTTTTCCCATAGTCATCTTCATCAAAAATAAAAAGCTATAGGGTAAGAAAACTGCTTACAACAAAAAACAGTAGTTAAGAGCAAGCATTAGGACCTGACTTCTACCCGTGTTCAGCCTTCCCTGTGCTGCTGCTCAAAATTCTTTGCTCAGTACTGACTAACACTATATTGTATAAAACAACAATATTGTACCGTCATTACAGATTTTATAAGAAATAATCTGTGAAAGTCATCTTTAGCATACAGCAAAGAAAAAAGGGCAATTTAAAGCATTTTCACAACACTTACGGCAATTTGTCTCCATTACTGGGAAGGAAAGCTTTGCCCAAATTTTTCTTTGATTCTGCCAATCTATAGCGTCTCCTTAGCTGAACAGGGTTTGAGTAGGCTTCACCATCGAAAATCCTCACAAACTGAGGCTCAAAATAACCTGCCTGCAGAGCTGACAATGTTTTGGTCCCCCCGGGTAACATCTGTCTGTTCTTGCTCGCAGCTTCGTTAAAAGGGCCTTTAAAAAAGTAAGCACTGTAAATAACTGTTCAGTGTTAGTGCTTCTCTTAGCCTACATTAAAAAAACTAAGGGCTGGATCCGGCCGGCTCAAAGAACATCCTACAGAGCATTTAACTTGTAAATCATGCATGTAAATGCTTGTGTCTGAAAGACAATGCTATGAGAAAGTATTCACAGCACCTAGTTTTTAGTTTTCTAACCCCTGCACTTGCTTTACAGGCAATGGAGAGAGATTGGTCACTCCAGACTATAATTCAGAGCTGGAGCTGATGCATATTTATATACTACGAGCAATACTTCAGAGGAGCATCTCTCTTCCACTGAGACCAGGTAGAATAGCTTAAGTGCCTCCAGTTGTGTTTTGAATGCCCCGCTGCTCAGTGTGGTAGAAGTGTATCAGCCAGCGTTCTGGTGGACATTTTCATCACTGACACAACAACACAGCAGAAATCTCTGTATTGAGAAGCCACGATTATTTTGCATTATCACTTCAAAGCAGCTGCTGAGGGTTGTTAACCTCTGTAACCTTACTAATTACAAAAATTACCCTTCTCAATAAGTATTCCCATTAAACAACGAGAAAAGGAGAATATTTTTTAAAAAGACAGGGTGGGGAATCTCACACACCTGAGTCAGATCAGAACAGAAAAACAACTACAACACTAATTTAAAAATAATGACAATGTAATTGTTAATAACAGAAAAGCTGCCTAAAGAGCACACAAAAACACTATTGTTTTTCACAAAAGTGGGACATACTGGTAACTTGCAGATAATTAATATTGAAAAGAAATGTATACGCTAAAAGATTTTATCAGTCTATTATGCATACATATTTTTCAGTTTTACTGGATTCTTCCTTTCTTCAATATATTCATTCCAACATATCAAGCCTTCCCCTTAATAACAGAGACCTGAGCTAAGAATATGGAAGTTCCCTCTAACAAAAAATATAAAAAATTAGAAAATAGTGATTCTGAAAGTAGATGGATACTAGAGATACTACCCTATCACCAAATAGTGATTAAAATTAAATGTACTTACGCATATAATGTGATACATATTTATCTCCAATGGTAACATAACCCATTTCACTGAAGAGGCCAATCCTCTCCATATCACTTTTCCCTTCCACAGGCATGGCTGGATCTGTGTGACAGTGCACTGCACTAAATGGGTTGAAGTATCCTTGTTTGTTTGTTCTACTGTGAAAGTCTATAAGCAGTCCACAGCTGTAAACAAAAAAGTTTACTTAAGTAAAATGCAAGAAGTTTTGGTTAAAAATATTAGCAATAAATGTAATCTGAAGAAAATACTCTACAATATGATTTCCATCTTTAGTACTTGTAGGACAAATGGACTATGTGGGATTTAGACACCATTACACCTCCTCTGTTAAACATTGAAAACATAAGCATAGAGAGAAAATCAAATGCATTTGTAATACAACTGGTACAACTCTTACTGAATTTACATAGTTTGAGTCAAAATTTGTAACAGATATCTTCAGAGTACTAAGATGAGAGGTTTTGGTGGTATTAACAGCTAGTAATAAAACATGCCAAGCATATGGATTATCTCTAGCAATTGTTTTCAGTCACTCTCCAGTAATGGTGTAGAAGGTCAGTGTATGGACAAATGTGGGCTAAAACATAAAAGTGTAATTTTGAAAGCCTTCAAACTAATCCAAGACCTGGTCATGGTAAATATCTCAAATTTCTTCTTGGTTTTAATGCAAATAATTTACAGTAAATGTTAGATTTTCCTCATCATCACCCTCTTTGGAACCTGACAGAACTAAGGAAAATGCCTAGTCAACAAGTGTAAGGAACTCAAGGACTTGAATAGAGAGCAGGCTTAGCTCTAGGATTACCAGGGATCTGATTTCCAGAGTGAATAATAGAGATGGGAATCAGACTCAGCTAGAGAAAGAACTGCCTTGAGGAGGAAGATAACAATATATGGTAAGTTGTATGGGGTTTGCACAGTAAGGTTTTGGTAGCTGGGGGTGGGGGGGCTACAGGGAGAGAATAGCATCTGTGAGAAGCTGCTAGAAGCTTCCCCTATGTCTGACAGAGCCAGTGCCAGCCGTCTCCAAGATGGACCCACTGCTGGCCAAGGCTGAGCCCATCAGTGACGGTCGCAGCGCCTCTGGGATAACAGAGTTAAGAAGGTGAAAAAAACCAAACTGTGTAACTGCAGACAGAGAGAGGAGTGAGAATATGTGAGAGGAACAATTCTGCAGACACCCAGGTCAGAGCAGCAGGAGGGGCAGGAGGTGCTCCAGGTGCTGGAGCAGAGATTCCCCTGCAGCCCCTGGTGAAGACCATGGCGAGGCCGGCTGTGCCCCTGCAGCCCATGGAGCTCCATGCTGCAGCAAATATCCACCTGCAGCCTGGGGAGGACCCCACACCAGAGCAGGGGGATGCCCGAAGGAGGCTGTGACCCCATCACTTCATCAGGTAAACTCAGCACCAGTCTTAGACTATAGGCAGATCTAGCCATTGGGTAAGGAACCAAAGGGCAGGTGACAGCAAATAGCACTGAAAGAAGAGATGACAGAAAAACTTACCCTTGGAGACAAATTTAAGGGTTCGCTGCTATGAAACAACTTGGCATTATTGGTGAGGAGGATAGGAATAACTTATCGACAAGAAATAGATGTGGAAATAAATTCTACAGTGTCAAGCAAAGATCAGGGGATTAACGGGAAGGAGTTTCGGGCCTCAAGGTGCCGATGTGACTCAGGAGACATGACAGGT